TGGCCGCGGCGGCGGACCGGGCTCCCGCGCCGCGGCCCTAGGCGGCCTCTCGCCATGGCCAAGTGGCTGAACAAGTACTTCAGCTTGGGCAACAGCAAGACCAAGAGCCCCCCGCAGCCGCCGCGGCCGGACTACCGCGAGCAGCGGCGCCGCGGCGAGCGGCCCTCGCAACCCCCCCAGGCCGTGCCTCAGGCCTCCGCGGCAGCCTCGGCGTCCTGCGGTCCAGCCACCGCCTCCTGCTTCTCAGCCTCGTCGGGATCGCTGCCCGACGACAGCGGCAGCACGAGCGACCTCATCCGCGCCTACCGCGCACAGAAGGAACGCGACTTCGAGGACCCCTACAACGGACCCGGCTCGTCGCTGCGCAAATTGCGCGCCATGTGCCGCCTGGACTATTGCGGCGGCGGTGGGGAACCCGGCGGGGGTCAGCGCGCCTTCTCCGCCTCGTCCGCGTCTGGCGCCGCGGGCTGCTGCTGTGCCTCCTCGGGTGCTGGCGCCGCTGCGTCCTCCTCCTCGTCGTCGGGCTCCCCGCACCTATACCGCAGCAGTAGCGAGCGGCGGCCAGCCACGCCAGCAGAGGTCCGGTACATCTCCCCCAAGCACCGTCTCATCAAGGTGGAGAGCGCGTCGGGTAGTGCCGGGGACCCCCCGGGGGGCACCTGCTCTGGCGGTCGCACCTGGAGCCCAACCACCTGCGGGGGCAAGAAACTGCTCAACAAGTGTGCGGCCTCGGCTGCGGAGGAGAGCGGGGCCGGCAAGAAGGACAAGGTAAGGCGCCCCTGGACCTAACCCGATGTCCCAGAGCCACTGTGCACTCCGGGAAACTGGTTCTGGTCCCAGCATCAGCTTTGGGCCAGGACCCCGGAATCAGTGTGCCCCTGTGCTGGTCCCATGCTGCCCCCTCCCACGCACTCTCCCCGGGATCGCTGGCCTCCTGACACAATGTCCGTGGGTGCTGCTCTCCTCTCCAAGCGTACAGTCAGGTGCTCGCTTCGCAAGTAGCCTGACAAGAGCGTCCCGCCCTGCCTGGCCCGAGAAAGAGACATCTAGCCAGTCCTTCCGGCCCCTGAGGAGGAGGCAGAGCTGTCACGGACTTAAAAGAGCCTTTACTCTTGTCTTCCCTCCACCCGCTCCTCGCCCCCACTCTGTAGGAGGGGCAGCTGAGGTCCAGGGTGGAGAAGGGACTTGCCGATATTACACAGCTTTCTTGGTGGCAGATCCGGACAGACTGTGTCGAAAAGTGTACATGTAAATCCCTCCAAACGCCCAGTCCTGCCCACCCCCTCACACTCACTCCACTCCAGCTTTCCAAAGCAGAGGCCTTTTGCACTGGAGCTGTACTGGGACTCCCCACCGGTGTCTTTCCAGTTGAAATAGGCTGTTTCAAGAGCGCTCCACTCCCGACCCCTCAATTCTTCCTACTGCTCGCTAGAGGGTCTATCTATGCTTGCGGCTGGTCTGGAAGGCAACCCACCTCTGGAGTCTAAACCTTTCCTTCCTGATCACATCCCTAGACCATACTGTGGGCGCTGAGGGAGACTACTTTGGGACAACACTTCTCCCCAGTTTTATCAGGCCATCTTGATATTAGCACCCCCACCTTTGAAGCTAGCCAGTTAATTACCGCGGACTGGGCTCTCCTGGCCCTCCCTTCCCCTATCAAATAATGCTTGTTCTACTTCAGGCTTGGGCAGTGTTTTGATTACCTATGAGGCCCAGTGCCCGGTGCTGCTGCCCATTTTGTTCTTCCCATTACCTTCTCCCAAAGGTAAACTTGCCCAGGCAAGGCTGAGGGACTGATAAACTAAAAGGAAAACTGAGTTCCTTTTAGGACTGGATGTCCAGACTGGAGGGAGACAGGCTCCTACCTGCCAGCTGGTGCTTGGAAAGGGACTTTTTTGTTTTCCAGGTGGGAGGAGCAAGAGGTTGGCTCTCCTTTAATTTTTCTGCCTGACTTCCTCTCCCTAAGGTCCCAGGTCTCTTGAGTATCTCCTCCCCTGAGTGTGTGCTGCTTGGGAAGTGGAAGGTCCCACCCCCAAGCCCCCACCCCAGGGAAAAGTTTGGCACCTTGGTAGTGTGGACTCTGGGCTTCTTAAGCCCCAGGATGCCACACCTACTTGACGTGGATCTAGGAGTTAGGTGGCCACTTAGAGCTGCCTTGGGGGAGGGGCAGAGTTCTCTGGGAACCACCCCAGTCATGGGTTGGTGGTTGATCTATGAGGGAAACCTCAGAGACAGTTCTTGCCTCCTTGGGTATAGTCTAAGCATGGCTAGATGCTAGCTTGGGAGAACCTGAAGTTCCTGGGTGTGGAAGGTGTCAGGAAGGCTTCCGGCCTGGCTAGCTGGGAATACCCACAGCCAATGGCATTGAAAGGCCTTGGTCCATCCCCTTTTTGTTTACTTGTGACTCTCCCCAGGGTCAAGTTTCCTTTCTCTCCTGCTATTTATTCATACTTGTGCCTGCTTACTGAAAGTCTTCCTACATGCCTTTCAAAAACTTTAGTGAACATTTTTTCCTAATTACAATTAAGACTGTCTCAAATCCTGAGGAATAAAAGTCTTTTATAACTGGAATGTCAAATGTGGTAAAGACTCAGAGTCATTTTTGCCATCAAGTACTGCTGGGTGCTGAGAGGCCCCCTTCCTGAATGCTGTGGTGGGTACTTTGGTGGGCCTTTGTGTTACTGGAAGGGTGGGGGGGGCCTTGCTGGCCCTGAGAGTGCCTGTGGGTGGAGCACACCTGCAGGATGTGCCCTTGGGTTGGCTGCAGAAGGGAGCCTGTTGCTAAGAGATCTGCAGCAAAAGCCCCTGTGACTGCTTTAGAGTTGGGTGGTACTCCAGAGGGGCAGGGAGGACCTTACAAGTTAAGCACAGTGAGGGCCACCGATGGGATTCAATTTGCTCAATGATGTGAGCAGGATTTTTTGGGAAAAGATCTTTGGGAGCTTTTCATGGACAGGGCAGTGACTTGAAGCTCTTTGGTCTTTTGAGAGGTTCTTCCAATGTCCAGGGACTCATGGGTTGCAGCTACCAGATGTTATTTCTACAGAGGGGAAGCAGCCAGGGAGGATCACAACATGCCATGGTTCTCAAATCAGTACCTGGAGGGCTGCTTATAACAGAGTGCTGAGACCATTCAGTCTCCCACAGTTCTTGATTCAACAAGCCTGGTGTGGGGCCTGAGAATTTGCATGTCTCTATCAAGAGATCGTTTGCTGCAGATCCTGGGAGCATTGGCTCTCTCTGAACTCTCCCTCTGGGTCTTCCAGGTAAAGCCCTTTGGGAGGCAAAAACTCCAGATGTTCTAATTTCTATCCTCTGTGTGGGGTTAGTTTCTAACTCGGGGCTGATACTTACCCCTATTTCTGACCAGGCAGCCAGGATGTAGCCTGGTTTTCACATTATTTCCAACCAGATGGTGTTTGGAAGGCCAGGCCTTGTTTTTTTTTTTTTTTTTAAGATTATTATTTTTTATTTAGTTATGCATATAAGAACTGGGATATAGGCCAGAGTGCAAGGGGGTGAGAGGATTCCCCAGAGACAGAGTGGGGAGCAAATTGGGTAGATTGACTGAAATACACAGCTGAGGGGAGCAGTGGTGAGATAGGAGAGGTCTATAGCGCCCTGTGGGTCAGTTCCCTGGCCGGGGATCAAATTCAGGCTGCAATGACTCGCGGTAGCTTGATAGCACTGAGATGTTAGCCCCTGTGCCACTAGGGAGGCCTGGAAGGCCAGGCTTATTATAGAGCCTGCCCTGGACACCCCATGCCTGCCCTCTGCTCCTCACTGTACATCCAGGAAAATCTACTTCTAGCACCCTGCTTCATTTCAGGCCCAGCTTCTTTTGATCAATTATTAGGGCTGTGGAATGCCCCCTGTGTGCCAAGCCCTGTGTAACAGCAGGCCTGAGCTAAGAATGACCATAGTGGGGGACAGAAGCTGTTGGTCCAGATTTTCCTTTCTGTGTCTCCACTGCCAACCTCCATTGGTTTACCTTTGGGGGTTTCCTCTCCTCTCCTGCCACCCTCCATACCATGTCATATATTTAGCTAGCCTCCAAATCTTCTAGATGAGTCCTAGGGCACACACATTTTCCCTACCATTGCCAGCATCCAGTTTGGGCATTTTTCCTTTTAGAATCACATGGAAGAGAACCTGTGATTTCTAAGGGGCCAGCTTTTACCCAACACTTACTTTGTGCTGGGGGACCTATCAGTACCAGGGTAAGCTAGGAGGGGAGGGAATAAAGGCCACAGAGACTTGTCAGTAGTCTCTGCCCTCAACCTCTGGAGGAGATCAACACATATTGTCTTTATTTATTTATTTTAAAGATTTATTTAATTATGCATATAGAACTGGGGTACAGGCCAAAGTGCAGGCGTGGTGAGAGGTTTCACCAGAGACAGAGTGGGGAGCAGAACAGGCAGATCGATGAAGTATACTGCTGAGGGGAGCAGTGGGTGAGACAGGAGAGGTCTGCCACACCATGTGGGTCACCTCCATGTGGGTCACCTCTGGGGTCCAAGCTAGAGGCTGCACCTAGCTTGAAGGTTGCAGCTAGCTTGCAATGCTATGTCCTAACCTGTTGTGCCACCAGGGAGGGCCCCAACACACATTGTCTTTTATCATTTGTTTCCCAGTGTTTTTGTCTAGGCAGATTTGATGAGGTCTTCACCTAAGAGCCAACTTCAGGCTGGCTCTGGGGGTGCAAGTGGAACTTCAGTGCCGGGCAAGTGGTAACTGCAGCCTGCAGGGACACTGATGTGCTAATGCTGTGTGTGCGCATGTGCTGGTGTTTGAGCGTGTGTGTAAAAGCCCAGTGTGGAATGTGTTCTAGGGAAGCAGAGCTTTCTTGTAGTGAGTTGGTTTATGAGAAAGGACAAGGGGAGATAGGAGGACCAGAGTTTGGATTCCACAGGAGAGTTCTGGAGACCGTGGAGCCAGGGACGGGATAAATTCAGAGCCATGGTTGATGAGCATCCCAGGCAATAAATATTCACACCTGTTTGGTGGGGGAAAAGGGTCAGAGTGAAGAGGTACACACACGCACACACACACAGTCCAGTCCGGGTGAAAACAATGAGGGCCTGAGATCCTGGGAGAAGGAAACGGAATTTAAGTAGAAATATTATTCCTTCAGGTTGTCGTTATAAAAAAATAATGATGACAAAAGAGGCCAGTCCCTTGGCAGTTTTCCTTTTGTGCAGCCAAACAGGTCTTATCCAGTTATGTTTTCTGCTGAAGTCTTGTTTCTTTTATCATAATTAAGTAAATGTTTCCACCACAACTGAGAAAGGCAAGATGCATCATGACATCAGTTCCCCATGTTTTAAATACACACTAATATGCACCAGCACTTTATATTTTGTCAGTGTTCACAGCATTAAGTAACACATTTCCTAAGGAACAAATAATATTGTGCCTAACTTTCTTTTTTTAAGCATTCGGCAAACAGTTTCTGAGTGGCCTGCTGGACCACGGACATTCAGAGAGAAGGAAGCTTTTCTGTCAGCAGTCAAATACCAGCGTCTCTAGGTCTGGTCCAGACAGATGTGGCTAAAAATTGACGTCATAACCTGAGGAATGCAGGAGAGAAGAGTAGAAAGGGTTGGGAGGGTCTCTGTTCTGTCTGGGTAATCAACGAAGACTTTCAGGAGGAAGTGGCATTGAGCTGATTCTGAAAGGATGAGTAGGAGTTTCCCTGGCAGGGAAGTGAGGAGGAGGGCTCTCTCTGTGCAGAAGGGGCAGAACAGAAAGGTCTGGAGGCT